AACAGGGGGGACCCCCCCACACACAACTACAACCAGATGTATGGTTGCCAACCTCCAGGTGGGGCCTGGATATTCCCTGGAATTACAGCTGATCTCCAGACTCTAGAGCTCAGTTCCCCTGGAGAAAATGTAGACTCCATGGCACTGAGGTCCCTGTGCTCCTTAAAACTTGCCCTCCCCAGGCACCAACTCTCTAGGAATTTCCTAGTCCAAAGTTGGCAACCCTGACTGAAAGGTTTTCTCAGAATAGTAGTTATTGTTGTTGCTGTTTGTGGTAAGAAATTTTAGAAATATAGAAGGTTTGGGTTTAAAAATGAACCAAATAGTTATAAAATCCATGTATCTGTCTCTGTCTTTGCTAGCAAAACAGCAAACAGGCTTGGCCTGCTTCACTGAACCGAACCCCATGTTTCTTTGCAAGCCCTTTGTTCCAGGAAAATCTCTTGCAACATCCGCATTACATTGTTCATGAATCTAAAGAATTTGGAAACATTTAGAAATAAAAGATTGGTATGCACCTGCCATTAAGTCAAGGAAGCCAGAATATTTGCAATACTAAAGGCTTGCCTACATGCAGAAACTCACATCACACCTCCAGCCAGCAGACAGTGCCTGACTGCCTTGCTTCAAGGAAACAAAGAACATCCTGAAACTGTAACATTAGTGTTCTTTGTCATTTAGAGATTGAAATGCTATCTTGCATTGTTTCGCAAAAAAGCATCAGGGTGACCCATTGCCTCTGAAATGTGGGAATATTTCCTAGGCCATAATGGCCCACATTACCAGGGTGGTTAGATTAATTGATGCAGTTTGTAATTTCTATAGCTCTATCGAAATGTATGGGACCAATATGGTATAAAAGAAGGCCAGAAGCTTCATTCCAGGACTGAGTCTCGGAGATCCAGAGAAGGCTTTGTCTTTTGTGATCTCTCTGGGCCGGTCCAGAAGCTTCTGTGCATGAGGAAATCTTTGTTTTGTATATTTAACCATTGACTGGTTTTTTTAGGAAGTAAGTATTCTGTTTTGTATTCCTTGCTTGGCTTTAGCTAATAAATTATTATATTGTTTAAAATAACCTTGTGCTGCATTCCAGCTAACTTTATTTTTTTTGTTATTCTACCACGCCTTGGTAAGGGGCACTCCCCAGACCATTACGAACCTAAAGGGGGTGGGAACAGGTGTAGGTAACACTTTATACAGGGTTAGTTTATACTGACAAGTGCTACAGTTGTATTTTTCCAACACTGTTCAGTCGCACTGTTGAGTCCGACTCTTCGCGACCCCATGGACCACATCACGCCAGGCCCTTCTGTCTTCCGTCATGCTCCGGAGTTTGCTTAATTTCATGTTCATTGCCTCGCTAACACTGTCTAACCATCTCATCCTTTGCCATCCCCTTCTTCTTTGATCTTCAATCTTTCCCAGCATCAGGGTCTTCTCCAGTGAGTGCTCCCTTCTCATTTGGTGGCCAAAGTATTTGAGTTACAGCTTCAGTATCTGGCCTTCCAGGGAACAGTCAGGGTTGGTTTCTTTAAAGATTGACTGATTTGATCTCCTTGCAGTCCAGGGGACTCTCAATAGTCTTCTCTAGCACCATAATTCAAAAGAATCTATTCTTCGGCACTCAGCCTTCCTTATCATAGTTATTAGTATGTGCTAATAGTAGGTAGTCAGGAAGTCCTCAACCTAGTATGTGCAACTATTTGAAAGTACTCAGACTATTACATATTCCAAATATTTTACACACTGGCAACTTAGTTCAAGATATTGACAGTGGGTTCTAGGGAGCAGGTCTCCTGCTGCTTCTGGAGGAAACAGGGAGCAAAAGGGAGGGATTTTGACTTCTGCTCTTATGATTTCTCTGCTTATTGAGAAGCAGGCACCATTTGGGCTGGACAGTTAAAATGCACACGCAATCCTGTGCCCAGGCATTTAATCTGCAGCCGGTGGGAGATTTTCTCTTTCTTGCCTTTCTTCCCCCCCTACCTAGAGTTGCTAACTCTGGGTTGGGAAATTCCTGGAGGTTCTGGGGCTAAGCCTGGGGAGGGCACAGTTTGGGGAGGGGAGGACCTCATCAGGATATAATGCCATAGAGACCACCCTCCAAAACAGCCGTTTTCTCCAGGGGAACTGATTGCTGTCGTCTGGAGCTCAGTTTTAATTTTGAGTGATTTCCAAGTCCAACATGGAGACTAGCAACCCTACACCCCACCCATCCCTGAGGAATATTCTCAGTGTCACACCTTTCTTTCTCCCCTTCCTCTTCTGTCTTGTTTATTCCTATCTTTTGCTGGCGACAGCCATCTCTCTCTCTCTCTCCCCCCCCCCATGTGTTCAGTCCCAGTCTCTCTACCTCTCTGTCAGCCTTTTCTCTTACCCTCTGTGTGCTTCTCTTGTAAAATATTGCATTATTCGAATTTTTATAACCTGTTTTCCCCAGCATAGTGAGTCCCAGTCTGGAATCATTGCCCTGTAGAGGCAGGTGTTTTCTATACAGTCGGGATGATTAGTTGCCTGGCAACAGGGAAAGGAAGGGTGGCAAACCCGAAGAGACTGAGGGAAAGTGGCTGAGGTAGTTTATCCAGAGGGAGAGGAGAATGTCAAAGAAGTTCCAGAAAAGACAGCCTGTAGTACAGTGAGAAGGGCATTCTGGCATGGGCTTCTGATCCACAGTGTTTATGGGACTTCTGTTGCTGTGAGGAAAAGTTGAGTCTGTGGAGAACAGAGACCTTGCCAAACATCCAGACGATCCTGGAATTCATGAGTTAGAGCCTGAAGACTAAAGAGACTTACTTCTCCTTTCTCCTCAACTTTGGAACTACTCTAAATATTTATTATTAATACTATTTTGTTCCAAATGTGCAGTTCTAAGCCCCTTGTTTTCCCCACCTTTAAATAAAAGCTGTTTAAGTTTTGAATGGGACCCATACATGTGCTTTCTCTAGTGTGACCCCCCCCCCCCCTTTGTGGAATGTCCTGCCTGTGGAGGTTGGGAAGGCACCCACCCTGCTGTCATTCTGCAAATGATGTAAAATGAAGTTATTCAAGAGAGCTTTTCTATAAAGATAATAGGGCTATATTATAACATAATAGTTCAAGAAGGCACTTTATAAAGGGAAAGGGACTGTGGATTATACTACTGAGTATAGGATGTATTATCAGTTTGCTGCATGTCTTAACCGACTGTCATTTCATGTCTACTGGTGTACTACCACGTTTCTTCATTATATCCACACTCTGTATCATACCTAATAGGCTATGCTCATTTGGATTTTGGTAATCCTAGTGCTAGTACATTGCTCATTCCATTTCTCCTCACACAGATTGGATCAACCTATACTGTACTTATTAGATGTCACTTCATATGGAGTTTTATCAGTTTGCATGGTGTTATCTGCTTTGAGTCTCACTGAGAAAGGCAGACTATAACTAAGGTAAATAAATAAACACTGTGACTCGGATTGCCAACCCCTAGGTGGTGGCTGGTGATCTCCAGGGATTACAACTGATCTCGAGGCAACAGAGATCAGCTCACCTGGAGAAAATGGCTGCTTTGGCAGGTGGACTCTATGACATTACATCCCACTGAAGCCCCTGCCCTCCCCAAACACTGCCCTCCACAGGCTCCACCCCTAAAACCTCCAAGTATTTCCCAAACCAGAGCTGGCAACCAACTGTGACCACTAGCCTGGCCCTTTTAAGTGTAAGGGCTACACTACACGTTATGGATTTTGTCAAGTTGAGTCCAGATTCCTTGGACCCAACTCACTTTCCCCGCATTCACACAGCAGCTGCAGGGAAAGAATTTTTTTTAATCTATAGGGTCCAGATTCGGCTCGCAATGATGACATGAGGGAAACCCCCCCACCACCCTGTGCCATTTCCCCAAACTGAAATGGCCCCAGCAGGGAGTAATTTGCCTCACTTTAGAGCTGCATGTGAAGTATGCTTAAGCTGCGTCCTTGGCAATAACTTCTGGGATAAGGTCTCATGAGAAGTAGTTGAATGGCCACTGTTTACAAATAAAGCTCACATCTGGTGAAGTACTGCATCTCCACCTCTAGATCTGGGCTGTATGCCTACAAGATGTGGTTGAAGGGGAAAAAGGCGACCCTTTGAGAAGCAAGAATAGCCACTTGAAGAGGAGACTGAACAATATCCCCGCAAAAATCAAATTCCTTTACTGTCCCTCAATCAGATTAGGCAGCAAAACACATTAATCCTTGACAAAGCAAGACAAAACCTTATCTGGTCCTACAGCACAATCTGAAGGCATCTGAAAACAAAGCAGTTCTGGATTTGGTCAGTGCCAGGTGCTTGGATCAAATGCCACCTTGGCTTCTATAGGAAATGGGAAGGTGGGCTATGAATTGAAAGAATAAATAAAATAAGTACATGTGACCTTGAGCTTGCATACTTTGCAAAGTTATCTCTAGATTTTCCCTTTGGCTACACCTACAGGTCATTGGATAGCATACTATCCCCATGTTTGTAGCAGTCATTTTAACTGAATTTTCTTATCCACACCAAGAAAATCCCACTGAAAGTGATTGTTATAATGCAATATCCAATGATGCATGGATGTAACAAAAAAGAATTGCATAATAAAGGAGCAAAATTGGTTGTGCCATTGGGGCAATGCAGCTGCCTGCCCATCTACCAATCTCTTTTTTCTAGGTTTTTGTATACATGCATATGCAGAGGGCTTGAAATTTCTGAGCTACTTTCCAATACACATTAAATAAATTCTGGGGAAGGTGGAAAGTGCCCATAATCCTATTAAAATGTCTTTTTAACCCACCCATTCATGACTTCTGGCTATTGTTTTGCCAGATCAGCTAAATCAGCGCCCATAATGGGCCGGGCTAGTTCCATGTAAAAAAGAACCCTCTGACTGAAGTCCACACCATTTGGAATACTATGTTAGATCTTCTAAATTCCAAGTTAGTGAGTGCAACTATTAGGCACTAAGCCTCCGCCTGGAAGTGTCCCAAAGAAAACTGAGTTATAAACAAACTGTATCAAACCAGCTGTTTATTTCTTAAAACACCCACATCCTTCTCTGTCCAGCCACCACTACATCAGCATTGTGCTAATTAACACAGAATCTAGGAATCATTGGCTACAGAAGAATTGAAGCAGCAGGTGGAATAACATACAATGGACAAGCAACTTAATACATTTCAGAGGTTGTCACTCTTTGTAGATACAGAACCCAGGCTCCAGGCCCTGGACAAGCTGATTCCTGTTTCACTAGCCCCTTCTCAGCCCAAAGAAACGCCTGTAGGCAGCAGCATAGCCGTGGCGCAGAGCATAACGCTCACAGGGATTGTAGTCCTCGCAGATCTCCCGCTGACGTTCCTGGGGGGTCTTGTTGCGTTCTCTGATCCTGGACAGATGTGACAGAGAGAGGCCAGTTTAAAAGAAGATCCAATAAAAAGAGCAATCAATTCACTCAGAGTGGATGAAGGCCACCCCAATTATTGTCAAGTAGGAATAATATTAAAAATCCAGTGGAAGATAAGCACATACAATAGGAAGTTAAGATAAGCAGTAGAAGAAATTAAAAAGGATTTACAAAAATGGCAGGATCTCCATATCTCATTTATGGGCAGAATTGCTACCATAAAAATGAATATTCTGCCACGCTTTTTGTTCTTAGCTCAAACTATACCGATACTGGAAAATTACAAAATATGTGAAGAACTAGATCAAGCCGTAAGAAAATTTATATGGCAGGCTAAAAAGGCGCGTATTAGTTTGAAATTGCTCCGTGATAAAAAAAGACAGAGGAGGTCTGGGGATTCTAGACTGGAAACTGTACTACAAAGCGGCGGCGATGGGATGGATACGAGACTGGCTATTATTAGAAGATAAAAGAACGTTAAAACTGGAAAGTCATGACCTATGCATGGGCTGGCACGCCTATGTATGGTATGACAAAGATAAAACACAACATATTTTTCATAAGCACATTATAAGAGATGCCTTAATAAAAATATGGAGGAACTTAAAAGAAAAATTCTATGACAAAATACCCAGATGGGTATCGCCGTTAGAGGCTTTTATAATGCCAAACTTAATGACTGAAAACAAAATTGTTAGCTATGAAACCTTACTAACAAAAGAAAATAAGTTAAAATCCTTTGAAGCATTACAAGCACTGAACATTACTCTTACAAATTGGGAGAAAATTCAATTAAAATCAAGATTCACTAAAGATAAAGTAAGAAATTTTGCAAAGACAAAATCGGATTTAGATAAAATTTGCCTGTCATCTGCAGATAAAATGATACAAAAAGTGTACAACTTTTTATTGAATGAAGAGATGTATATGGAAACAACAAAACCCTGCATGAGGGCATGGATGAAGGATTTAGGAGTTAACATAACTGCAGAGAAATGGACAAAAATGTGGAGTTCAATAAAGTTACTAAGAGCTACATCTTATAAAGAAAATATAATTAAAATGTTTTATAGATGGCATTGGACTCCAGACAAAGTAGCAAAATGTTATAAAAATGTGTCAGGAAATTCCTGGAGGTGCAAAAAGAATATTGGTTCATATTATCACATGTGGTGGAGGTGTGAAAAGTTGGAAATTTTTTGGAAAAACATAAAACAACTAATAGTTGAGATAGTGGGAAAATAACTTATGTTGGACCCAGAAATTTACTTGTTGAATATGTTACCGGAAGGGATAAAGTATAATGACAAATGTTTGATTTTATATATTCTTACTGTGGCTAGAATTCTTATAGCCAAAGATTGGAAATCAGAGAAAATACCAAATAGAGAAGAATTAATAACAAAAGTTATAGAAATAAAAGAAATGGACAAAGTAAATATGATTTTGTCAGGAAAAGATGAAAATGTGTTTAGAAAAAGATGGCAGAAAGTAGACAGTTGGTTGGAAAAAAATGGAAAATGAAACTCCAAAATATGATGTAATTAAGCATAATTTTGTGTCAATGTATGTTACAGAAAAAGCTAAATAAACTATTTTTAAAAAGATAAGCAGGTATACAGAGGTATAGTTGAATTAACTGACAACCTGAAAGCATGGGATATGCAAGCCCCTCTGGTATCAGAGGTACAGAAAATCACTGCAAAGTCTTAGCAGCTTGTTTTGACAGTTTGTTTTATGCAAATGCCTCTTCTATCAGGATGAGGCGCTGAAATCACTGCCTGTAGGAATAAACTGTGAAAGGCCTGTATAATCAATGGAGGGAATATATTCTGCAGCAACTCTCCTGAAAATTCAGCAAGAGCCCATTGACCTGCTGTCTACAGTGAAAAGTGGATCTTTCACATCATACACTGGCTCATCGTGAGAACTCAGCTGCGTCTCAGACTATGCAGTTCAGTTGTGTGTTGACACAAAGCTGCTGCACAACCATCCTGAATATTTTTACCAATATAAATATGACTCCAGTTCTCCACATGCATTTCTGTATTTACAACAGTGTTCCCCCTCCCATTATTTTTCCAGTCACTCTTTTACCATTTTAATCAGACCTTAACTTCCAAGGGATAATTGCCCTTCCATAAAGGCAGAGACTTCCCTCGTTGTGGAAGAGATGCCCTCCCACTCCTCATTCACGTGCAACCCCAAATCCAGAGAGGACTTACCTTTCCTGTATAACAGAATTCCTTCTGGGCGGAGTCCTCATGAAATTGTAGGCATTTCTTCTGTTAATGAAAGGACCTGGTGAGAAGGATTGGTTGTAATTACTACATATTCTAGAGATGAACTGAAGGCCAGCAGCTGTGTGCAAAAAATTTATTCCATCTAGGGAGCAGCCCTAAGCAAGTCCACTCTGAATCCTACTCAAGTCTATTCAATGGAGCTTACTCCCAGAACAGTGCCCTTAGGACTGTACTGCTAAGGTCCCATTGACACTGGCCACCTTGTTCATAATAGGCAACACTATCAGCCTCCTCTGTTATCTTTATGCTGTCCAGAATGATTAATGACATATTTTCCACAGTTTTCTACGGGGTCCTTCCAGATACCCACAAAAAGTGGGGCTTACATTCATTCATAATTGCATGCTAGCACCAGCCCTGATAATTGTGCATTTGGAACCGATGCAATTTTTCATTCTCCAGTTAGTCCCCATGCAAAGGATAAAGCAACCTTCTCCTGCCACAATGGCACCATCCCAGGTCTCTCTCACTGCCCCCGCTGTTGCTCCAAGGAAGGTGTTATTTTTTCCCTGAAAGCATGTATGTGCACACAAGCACACAATAACATTTGATTTAAAACCATTCCTCCTTCCCCCACTTCTTCATTGGTCTTTCCTGCAGCAGAACAGATAGCTGGCTCAAAACAACTTAATGACACTTGCCCTGTTCTCTATTAGAGGAGGGATTCCCCCCCCCAAAAAAATCTAGCACCTCAGCACACATATTTGAATTTTAGAAACACTCCCCCTCCACCCCTCTTATTTTCCCCTGCAATGAATAAATCGCTGCCATAAAACCACCTTTCTCCTCTTAACTAGAGAGCTAGTAACAACTAGCACTAGAGAAACTTCAGCTGATCTTCCCATTTGCCTGCTCCATCCTCTGCCAATTGGCATTGCTGCTGCTTTATATCTGTTCCAAGGAGAGGGTGTTTTTTTCCCAAAAAGAGCAGTGATATTTTAATTTTAAAAGAGAAGCTGATAAGATAGAGGTACGATGGCAAGGTTTCCCACGCACACACACACACACCTCTCTGCAGTAAGGCTGAAGAGTTCCAGCCTTTTCCTTTGGCAAATAGGTTCTAGTTTACCTTTCTCCCTCATGGGCTACTTCTCTACATGCAAGGTATGCATCATGGCCCCACACACATGTATTCTGAACAGGAGCAAGGGGGTTTTCTGAATGTGCGGATCAGCTTTCAGGAAGCTTGCTGAATCTTCTTACCATGCAAATTGCAACATATTTGGCTTCAAGTTCTGCTGACCAGTGGGCCCAAGTTTCCTTATTTTACCTCTTTCCACCCTTCCTCTGAGAGCTGTGCCCACTTTTCTGTTCTCAGCTAGATGACTTACTGCAGTGTTATCCAAGGTGGGTTACAGACCCCTCACCCCACATCATGCAGAAGGCCTCGTGATAGCTTTAGGCTGACTGCCATATAACATCTGAACTCTGGATGAAACAATTTGGAAGAGAGCAAGTTGTGCCAAAATAAAAATGTGATGGCTGGAGAATCAGAGTAAGAACCTGACTGGATTGTCTGAAGACATGGTGGAAGGCTTCCTACTTATCATCTCTGCAGCTGGGAAAAATGATTGCAAAGGAAGTGGACCACTTATGAGACCTCTTATGACAAGATGAGTGGAGCTGTCCTGCGGAAGCCAAACGTCAAATCTCTTAACCATCTCAGTGAGTCAGATGGTATGCCATATAGTTTCTTACTTGCAAATTCATGTGATTCCATACTCTCGTGAGACTCTGTGAAGGTGGGAAGAAATAAAAGAGCTTGTAAGAGCATCATTGGCAAAAGAAGGAATTTCAAGTATTTCACATGTCAACTACCGTTCTGTCTTGAAAACTAGCAAACCAGGTGCCCCTGGACAGTTTACAAGCAGAGTTTGATGGAGACCGAAGCCCCTATTCTTTGTCCCTGGTATCTGGCAATCAAAGGCACACTGCCTTTGGACATGGGGGTGCCATTCTAAGCTGTGATGGATCCGGTATCCATAAATGCATCAGCCTGTAAAGGCTTGTATGCTAGAAACTACAGCTGTGATCATACACACTAAATAATCCACTTTCAATCCACTTTCCAACTGGATTTTTACTGTGTGAACTGGCAAAATCCAATTTGAAAGTAGAGTGAAAGTGGATTGAAAGTGTGTGATCACAGCCTACCTATGGTAAATCTCTTCCACTATTAACATAGGTTGTTTGTTTGTTTCACCAGGGTACAACAAAGATTAGCTACGCATTACACATATACCAGTATTCAGCAAGAGAATATTAAGAATATATATACATATCCTTTCTTATCATTGGTTTCCAAATTCTAAATTTTCTCCATCTTTAAATCTTTGATATTCTCATCAACCTATACACCTTCTTCACTTTGTTTAACCACTCCCCTTTCAACGGTAGCATCTTCTTTTCTCAGTATTTCACAAACACTAACCTTGCTGCTGTAAGAAAGCCGTCTAATGGAGACAACCACATCCAAACCATTATTGACAGTCTGCCCACTTTATAGACTTCTGTCTCAAATCTATCCTGTTCTTGTATTTGTTCAGAAATACAGGGAGCAGGGAGGAGGAAACCATGATCTATTTAAGAAGATACAGCCAGACCATTCAAAGAAGCAACTCCTACCTCAGACATGCCCGCAAACACTATCATCACCCCCAATATAAAGTGCAACATTATGTACAGTTACTCCAGTCTAAATCCATTGTCTTGAATGGGCTTAGACTGGTATAACTCTGCATAGGATTGCACTGATTGCACTAAATGGTATTCAGCCCCCAACTATGATGTCCACTTGCTAAATGTTTCCCCATCAGCCCAGCGTTTCAGCTCCTGTCTGATCATCCCTGATGCTTCACAAGAAGGGACATGAATTTCTCAGCAAAAAACAATGTTGTTCTTGACCCCAGCGGGCCATTCATGAAGTATGAACAGAGTAAACATTATCAAATAATGCTTCTCATAAATTTGTCCAACTGAGGACACTTTGAAACCCCAAAGAGTGTCTGTCATCAAGCAAACAGTGCATGAACGTAGTATATCTGGGGACTGTCCACCTGATATTTTCCAAGTTAACAATTTATGTATAAACAGCCATAGGTAAGAGAATATGGCCTAGCTTTCCCCATCATATGTGTTTTGATAAAGTGGGGTTGTAAAGGAGCAGAAACAGAATGATCTGTGATGGATACAAAGCGTGGTGGCGTCTGGCCTGAGAACTCTGCTTGAGAAAGAGGACTGGACTAGACCACAGTACTGATAAAGGAGTGCTGACAATGAAGGACCTGAGAGTGAGAAAGGGATGTCTGAGAGGGGAGGGGAGAAACTGTAAGGCCATCATATTAAAGTTCTGCTAGCAATAAAAAGACATCACCTACCATAGCAGAAAGCTGCTGCCATCAGGACAGCTAGGAACGCAAGAATGATGAAGGTCCGCATCTTCTCTCTCTTCCTCCCTCTCTCCCTCTTTCTGCGTTGGTCTTCTTCTCAGTTTCCACTGAGGCCAGCTGGACTCTCTAGGCAAGCTGTGAAGTTTAGCAGTGGAGTGTTTGTTATGACAACAGCTGCTGAAGGCTAAGGAGCTAGACGAAAGGGCCTGAAGAAGGTAGGGACTGGCTGGCACTTGCCCTTTAAGGAGACTGTTATAAAACACCCTCTATTAGTGTGTTAATCAGCCTTTGGTGGAATTGGACAGGCTCCATTCCCCTCCCTTTCTGCAAAGGGAGGACCACAGTTGAAAAGGAGGTGAGCTGTTAAGTCTGCACATTCAGAAATGTTGAAATACCGATGGAAAATGCCAAATATTAGCCACAGCACATGTCCCTGGGATCCAGCTTCTCCCAAACAGGGTGTTTGCTTTCTCATTTCTCTGATTTGCCTGCTCTTGCCACGCTAAACACAGAGGTTCTATTGGGGCTCCTTATCTCTTGAGCTTATCACAGCACTGGAGTGGAGAAATTATATTTCAACATTCTCTTCAGCCTTAGCTTCTCCTCATGTTCAGATGTTTTCAACTAGAGATGAAAAGAGTGCTATTCATCTGACATGCTGAGATGATCCTTCTGTTTCCTATTCTAATTCAACCTATACTGTTTATCTCAGAGTTCTCAATCAAAGGTATCAAAGATTTCCTCAGAGGAACATTCTTCCCCATTTGAACTGCTGCCTCTGGCCTGGTTCTCACTGAGGTGGTAAACTTGTGTCTGGCTGCCCCTCCCCCTAGCAGAATACATGCGGGGAATCATAGGAATGAACGTTCCTCCATACAAAAAATTCCCTTCATGTAAAGCCAGGGGACAAGCAGTGCTTGTCAACAGTATCAGAAATGTGTGACTCTGCTTAGGATGACACTGAAGGAGTTCTAGCCCAACTCCCAGCCTGTTAGATTTCCACGTGGAACAGGGAGAGGGCTGGAGCATTTGTATAAATCTGCACCTGCAGTTTGAAGCAGCACAGCCCAGGCACAGAACTGACACCACAGCAATGGCTGTCTATCACCCACAGTCAGAAGTGGTATAGTGCATTCAGTGACACATTATTCTTGTGCATGTGTGAATCAGCCTTAGATGTGACAGAGGCAGCTATGCTTGTTCTTCAGATGCTAATCAGAGGCTGGGTTCCACTTTTGCCACAAAATAGGCCTGCAGGTAGGAGATCAGTACCCTCTCTTACCTTCCACTGTTGCGGGAGCAATTTTCTCCCAGTCTAGCCTCAATATCCAGATGTGTGTTTGGCTTGGGAGAAAATGAACTGATGTGGTATAGGGAAGTAAATAGGAAGTTCAGTTCCCCTCACATGCATGTACCTTTTTCTTGGAAAAAATAACTCTTGCCACCATTTTAGACATGAATGGCAGACATACAAATAAAGACCAATCAATTCACACAATATAATTTAAATAAACAAAAAACAAATAACCCAAAAGGAGACAAACATATCTTGAGTAGGACTTAATTCACTGGATTAGCTCTCATAAGCCACAGGCTTTGAGCTAAGAGCCCTTAGGCACAAGGCCAAGGGCTTGTGCCTCTGCACACACCCAGGCTTAAATACCTGCAGAAAGAGGAGAAAACAAACTTAGCCCAGGTGATAGTCAACTGAACTTCTACTAGCATGCTAGCAAGCTCATCCCAATTTCCTTCCCTGCCAGAGGGGATTGTCCCTCTCTAGGTTTTTATTTATACTATCCATATTACTATGTTCCTCACTGGTCATATCTACTCTGGTTGGACGAGTTAACTGGATTGTGTCTTGTATTCCCTTGTACATAGTGAAGAGACATACCTACTGCTGTCATCTGTTGCATTACATGGCCATTTGGCCTCACTGTGTAACTTTTTAAAAAATCACTTCTGTCTGTACTTGTAGTAGGTATACCTACCTGCTTAGGGGATCATGTAATTGACAAAGTGAGCTCTGCCCCACAAAACCTATGTCACAACAAGTGTGTTAGGTGCCACATGACTGTTGTTTTTACTAGTGGCAGAAAGTGCCGACAAGTCGCAGCCAACTTCTAACAACCCTTCTAACAACTTCTAACAACCCCTTGTAGGGTTTTCAAGGTAAGAAATGGTTTGCTATTGCCTGCCTAACCCAGGACTTCCTCAGTGGTCTCCTATTCAAGTACTAACTAGGCTCAACTCTGCTAGCTTCCCAGATCTGACAAGATAGACCCAGCCTGGGCCATCCCAGCTACCCATCTGGGATCTGTAGGCTAGAAAAACTCAAATCATATTGTTTACCACTCACTTAACTATGCATGGCAGGTCTGGAATTTTGCACTAAGGTCAGTCCTGCAAACCGAAGGCTCAGAATTTGAAACCACAGTCATGTTTTGTATATAAATGCATCATTTCCCCCCAAATTTATTTCAATTGCACCACCGGGGGGGGGGATGTAGAATTGGTGGATTTTGACATGGAGTTAAAAGAGAAGGCCTTCCTCATTCCTGTGTGTGGAGGAAAGACAAAAAGGCAGGGAAACCATGGAAAGGGCCCTCCATTCTGACCACTGCAAGCTCTGTGCAGATGTCACACTCGCCACACCTTTTTCAAGTTCTCTTTACTCACACAGAGAAGTTCAAGAAATTGTTCTTTTAACAGAAAGGTATGCTTTTCCCCTTCCGTGCATCTACATTTCAGGCTAAACAAGTAGATTCCACACTGCTCCCTTTTTTGCTGGCCTTTTTGTCATGTTTTTCAAGCTTCCTGAACAGGAAAGGTGGTAAGTAAGCAAATAAATAAGGCTGTCATTTGGGTTTCTAGCACGCCCACACACATCTCACACACACAGCTGCAGAGGAGAAGTAAGTTCTGTAGGCTGACTTGTCTCTCACAGCCTCAGTGCAAAAGTGTAGTAGTAACCAAATTCCCAGCCTAACCGGCACCTTGGTGGTTTCCCAGATGATGCTGTGCCACAGTCAGAATATATCTTGACAGACATAAGATCAATGTCTACAATGGGGGTGGGAGCAAACCGAGTGCTGGCTTCACATCATCTCCTGCATTTTATAATGGATGTATAAACCTGATCTTGGGTTGATCTTCTGAGGGTTTGGAGGGAGGCAGGGATCAGACTGAGCAATCCTTTTTAGCCAGGGGGTGAATGGGATGGAAATGGGATGGAATGGGATGGAAAACACAGAATGAAAGGAATGCTGAGTAAACTGTATTGGGATTAGGATTCCTAGAAACTGGGGATGTGCACATTTGATTTGTCTTTAACATAAAAAAACACTTTAAAGCAAGAGAGTCTGTGGCTTCACTCAAACCACTTGTAAAACCACATTCAGAAAAGAACCGGCGATCCATTATGAGAGCCAAGTCCATCCCAAACAAGGCTTAAGACAGGGATCACCTTGCCAAATGGGGCATGGGTCACCTCAGTTCTTTCTGACCTGTGAGGCCAGTTGTTCTGCTATTATTACAGTTCCTTAATACTGGTTTTTCATGTGCCCCTGTTACGTACTGAAGGGGTGCTGGACAGGGTCATCCTGGAAGCAAAAGTATGCACCGTTAGACCAAACGGGAATGGGAAGAGCACCAGAGTCCGGTGAAAGCCCTCACTGCTCCCTTCAGATACTTTTGAAGAGGGGAGTGTCCAGATCATATTGGGATTTGCCGCTGCCAGGAAATAGTTGACAGCAAACGCATAGCCTGCTTCCAAGTTCTGTAAGCATGTGGCAAGAAACAGCAAAAGCAGAAAGAAAGAGACTGTCTGTAAGCAGCATTCCCCCTCCCCCCCAGGGCTTATTTTTCTCACTTTCAGACCTTTGCCTCTTTGTCACTGCTGGCCTCATCTTAGGTTTAACGGTTCCTCTCAGAGATTTGCATTCCCCTGGAGGTCAAACCAGACAAGCTGGAAGTATAACTGCTGATATACACCTCTCTAGTCTCTTGCCCCGGCTTCCCTTCCTGTCCTTGTTCCCCAGCCCCTCCTGGATTCAATTTTTTTTTGGTCTCTTTTAAGAAAATGTCCTCGCTTCAGTAAGGACTTGTTTATGTTCCACAGAGTTCAAATTTTGCAGAATGTGGATTTTATGAGTTTACTGTATATCATAGTCACTCTGGCATCCCTAGAGTTCCGTGTTGCCAGGAAAGGAAGGCTGAACTGGAAGAGATGGATCATGACTGGAAGGGATCAGGACTGAAGATTCAGGGTGTGGGGGCAGGGAGGAAACAGATACAGAAATTTGGGCACCAGCAGTGAAGTCCTCTCCTGTCTCCACTCTCTAGGTAGCTGCTCTACTCTTTCTGTGCAGTCCCTCTTTCCAGACGTGCTAGCAAAAGGGTCTCCCGACTGCCCCTGCTTTTTCCTCTCCAGTCTTTCTCTATTTCTTTCTTCCTCCGTCACCACACATATTGCCAGAATTACAGAACTGCTGATAGGCTTGTTAATGCCATGCTGTTATTATAAACCTCTTACCCACAAAACACCTCACACTTTCCAAGGACAAATAAAATTAGAGCTTGGAACAGAGTTTCTAACAAAATAAGATTTCTGCAAGAAGTCCCAGCTTTTCTTGGCTGCAGGGTTTTTTTATAGGCAAGCTGAAGAAATTCTGACACTTCTGAATGTCACTGTGACAACATCTGAAGGATTCTGTCATTTATTTATGATCAATATGTTTTTTTTACAAAGCTTTGCCAAAAGTGTCACTCATTTTCATTTTTGATCCATAATTATGCAACCTAATTTCACCAAAATTACCTAGCTGAGACTAAGCACTTTACTATGCTGTTGTTGCTACAGAAAAAGGAAAGCATTTGGCAAAATGGAATATCCACCAATAATCTAACATAGCCCAAACTGATAAAAGGGGGGGTATTGTTTATCTGAGTATTTTAATTCATTTCCATTATATACACAAATTATACAAAGCTCCTCATCTAACAATCGAGGCCACCTTGATTTTTTTTTTAAGAAACCCAACCCAAAAACCAGACCAGTCCCGTTTAAAATCCTGACAACCTATCAGAGAGATGCTCATGCTTCTTCATCCTCAGTCTTGACTAGTTCACTTTCTCTCCAATTATAGTAACCACAACCTTACCCAGGAGTTACTTTTGAACACTTACCCATTAAGTCAATGACTTTGTACACATTGAACTAAAAAGTACAACCCTGAAAATGTTACCATGTTGAACTAATTAACAGCAGACCTTCGACAGGCCCTTGCATACTCACTGTAATGGGCTGGGCTCTCTTCTGAGTGCAGGCCCTGTCAGGTTCTCTCCTCCCAATATTCCTGTAGCCTTAGCTGGCAAAGAGGGACCCTTATATTGATGACAAGTGACTCCTCCCTCCCGTCATCCTCCTCCAGTCTACCACCTCTTTTCTAAACATCCCCTTCCCTCACTCAGGAAATCAGAAACCTCAGGAAATTGGAGGAGGAGAGAGTGGGAGAGTATAACGGACGCCAGTGGCTAATGGGGTCAAAGCCACATTGGGGAGGGAGGAAGGGAGGACAGCCAGCGTGCCTATGCCTAAGCAGTTAACCAGTAAGGGCCCTGAATGGGGGCCTTGAAAGAATGTAAGAGGTTCTTTCATTGGTGGCTGGAGAGACCTCCTCCTCCATCCCTCCTCCAGCAGTCAGGCCTTGTACCACAGCAGCAGAATGCCTGCAAGGTACTGCGGAGAAGGACAGATGCCCTTTAAACCCTTACAGTTTAGCTGCCATTCCTCAATGGTAGAGAGAAGGATGAGTGAAAGTACTTGGGTTCTCTGCTTTGACACACACACACAGCCGCGCTTTCCAAAAGAGGAATGTTGTGGAAGGTGTTAGAAAAAAAACAGGAGGACCTATTTAAACTGAGTGGGAGTTTGGCACTGAGGGGAGCAGGCTTCTAAATTAGTTACAGGTGAATGGATATCCAGTGCCATCTGTTACATGTCTGTGAAACAGGTCATAGGATTTCCAACTCTGGGTTGGAAGGTTCCTGGAGATTTGGGGTTGGAGCCTGTGGAAGATGGGGATTGGGGACATGAGGAACCTTGGTGGGGTATAATGTCATATAGTCTACCTTCCAAATCTGCCATTTTTTCCAGGGGAACTGATCTCTGTAAACTGGAGATCAGTTGTACTTATGGGAGGTCTCCAGGCCCCACCTGGAAGCTGGCAACCCTCAGGCATGACAAAGGGGCTTGCTTTCCAAAATGACAAAAGTATAGTTTCAAACAGAGTTAAAATCTCCACACTAAGGGTGGTGGGACCTGGCTGCATATATCACAAGTAAAGTAGAAACTGTCATCAAATACAGTGTGTATTTGTCAGCAGTGTTGAGGTTAACTGGTGTTAGTCCAGTTCACACTAGATAGCAGAGTGCTTAAATAAAGCTACAAATGCAGCAGCATCCCTTTACCAGGTTACCCAGCTTACAGAACTACACAGAGCCATGTTGCAAATTTATCAGAGAAATACTTCTCTCTTTATTTGAGAAGTACACTTTTGGATAGGAAACTGTAGAGACAGGATAAAGTACTAACTTACTAGTTAAGGGTGGAAGCAGATGGTGAGGAGGAGGAGAAGGAGAAGAAGGAGGAGGAGGAGGAGGAGGAGGAGGAGGAGAAGGAGGAGGAGGAGGAGAAGGAGAAGAATAAGAAGAAGAGATTGGATTTATACCCTGCCCTTCACTTGGAGTCTCAGAGCGGCTTACAAACTCCTTTCCCTTCCCCTCCCCACAACAGACACCCTGTGAGGTGGGTGGGGCTGAGAGAACTCTGATACAAACTGCTCTTTTTCAAGGACAGCTGTGCCAGAGCTTGTGACTGACCCAAGGTCACATCAGCAGGTGCAAGTGGAGGAGTGGGGAATCAAACCCGGTTCTCCCAGATTAGACTCCGCACACTTAACCACTACACCAAACTGGCTCTCCGGCCATGTGCTTTATGGTTCCAAGATAGGACAGCATGTCATCCCTCTTGGTGTGTGCAGGGAGAAGAGGGAGCTTCATCTGAGAGAGTGAACAGAAGGAAGGAAAATTTCCCCTGAGAACACAATCTACATTTCAAAGGGGACAGTGGCATAAGAGTAAATACAGAAAGAAAAGTCAGTGTGCCTATCTAGCTATCTAGTCTCTCTTGCCATGAAGTCTGGAGACACAGGGACATCACACCCGGAACTTCCAACAAGCAGTGAATCACATATGTTTTTGCTGTGCTTACTTAATATAGCAAACATTTAACCACTTGGACCAATCAAAGATTTAACACTGTTAAGTCTCTTTTCTTTTGAGGAGAATCCAGACAGCAATTTCTCACACTCCTGAATGAGCAGATTGGAAGAGTCCTGGTACTGGAGAACGACTGCAGCCTGCATTCATGGGCAGGGCTGGCTCGAGGTGTTTTTGCACCCTAGGCGAGGCTGCCTTGTGGCACAGATGCCAACCTCCCGGTGGGGCCTGGAGACCTCTGGAGCCAGCCACCCTTTTGCTACCGCTGCCACTGCCTCCCCCCCCCGCAGCTGTCAGACCCAGCGAGCACGCCCCACATGTTCCTGCAGCATCCTCCAAGATGGAAGAGAGATTTCTCTCATGCTCCGCTTCCAAAGGCAGTTTGGGAGGGAGGTGGGGGGGGGGAATCCTGTCTCCAGGCACGGGATGCTCACCGGATGCCTCTCCCCAATTAGCGAAGTGCTGACACTTGGAGAGCTGCTCGCGGGCTTTTGGCGGGGGGGGAGCACAGCTCGGCGCCCCATCCAGGGCCCAGCACTCTAGGCAAATGCCTAGTTCACCTAGTGGGTGAGCCAGCCCTGTTCATGGGATACCCAGTGCTATTGGCTGCTGGAAGCCAGCTAGATGGACAATATAATATAGCACACTGGTGCCCCACATGGATCCCAGTTGTACAGATAACTTGCAGAAGACTTCCTTTAGAGCTATAGCAGGTAGGGTACCCTCTTTGCCGGTTAAGGTTTTTATTGGGGTTTCATAAAAGAGGATAAGGTAGGGGTGGGATAAGGTAATGGGTATGACATCCAGGTAGCAGTAGAGTACAGAGGATCTTCTTACACATTAAGTTACATAATTCAAATTCTACAAGTAAATAAAATATTTTCTTTGCAGGTGTTTTCTGGTTAACCTCTAATTTATAGACTCAAAGTTCGTCTCTCTAATCTCTTGTTTGAATCCATATATAAAAAGGATTCCATACTGTTTCTAAGTCTTGGTCTTCATGGTCCTTTAACCTTTCCGTTCAAATGTCCATTTCGGCAACTTCTAAGATCTCTTCAACCATTTCATCATCTGTTGGCACCTAGTTCACTTTCCAATATTTCGCATAGAAAATTCTTGCTGCTGTCACAACATGTATAATTATATGTTTTTGTTTCTTATCTAAATATACCGGTAATATATTTAATAAAAACAATTCAGGTTTATATATTTCAACATTTTCTGCAACCACTCATGAATCTTTTTCCAATAACCTTTTACTATTGCACAAGTCCACCACAAATGATAAAAACTGCCCTCTTTGTAATGGCATTTCCAACATTTAATAGGCATTCCTTTAATCATCTGTGATAATTTTTCTGGAGTTATATGCCATCTATAAAACATTTTATAAATATTTTCTTTAAAGCTAACCGATTTACTAATTTTTATATTATTTTTCCATATTTGAGCCCACACATCAATCTCAATATTATAACCAAAGTTTTGCATCCACTTAATCATTGAATCTTTCACCACTTCATCTTCCAATTTCAATTGCAAAAGAAACCCATACATTTTCTTAATCAACTTATCATTTGTTTCTAACAATAGTTTATCAAAATCAATTTGCTGTAGGTAAAAACCTTGACGTTTATCTTTCACATATCGGGATTCCAGCAGCATTCTCATCCACCAGCTTAGAGTAAAATCCCGCAGTTCTTTATCTGATTTTAGGATAGCATGTACCCTTCATGCATGAGAAGTTGAGCACAATCTTGTGTAAAGGGAGGACACCTTTTGTTTTAGTTTCACTTTTCTCGTGTTCAAACACATGATGTAGAACAGCCCTTCAATGAGTGGAAGCTGGAAGTGTACCTTTGGATCCAATGCTATATAAATCTGTGCCTGAGGGGTCAAAGATGTTACAGCACAGATTTCAGTCCCTGCCATCATAGGCATGAGATGGGTTCTGAAAACAAGAAGAAATGTGCTTCTTCTTTCTACAGGGAAGGATCTGCTCATGCCCTTGCTTAGATATTGATACAATGGGCAGAATCTTACAACTTCCATCCTGCCTGTTTTGGCCTAAAAGCTAGAGATGTTTGGCCCATTTTCACTCTCTTTAACAGGTGGAATGCATGATTGGATTATGATCAATAGGAACACCTGGAAGCAAGAAGACTTCCTCTGTTGGAATAATAGTTCTATGGCAACATAGGCCCCCATGGGAATACACTGTCCCTTGTTGGGAGTGGGCTAGGTCCTGTACAAAACTTAGAAGTGATACAGGGTGTATAATAACAATACCAAACTGAAATCTTTATGTGTATGATATGAAGCTGAAGTAATGCTTTAGTCACTAGGAACGTATCCTGCCACTGGTTTCTTTTTTTCCTATACTGTAATGACGGGTGCCAATTAAAACCATAGATTCCTAACATTCAGTGTCTGAATCCAGAATGCTCTGTGTTTTCTGACAGTTTGAGTCTAACTGCATCAGCATCCCATGTAGTCAATCAGGGCAACGTATACAGATGGTAAGGGAAACAGAAGTAAAAGAGAGAGGTTGCTAGCTGGGAGCCATTGTGGAATGGAGACCAGGAAAATGATGCTGTGTGATGCTGCAGGAATTCCCCTAATATCAATGGATTGGGAAAGTTCTTAGACACCTCCACAGTACCATGCTGCACCACTTCCAGGTACTCAACTGGATATTTTGTCACAGCACTTCACAATCCCCCTCCCCCCATTTTGCTCCCACCATTTCACTGAGCGAGGATAGGAACTAGAGCAGTGGGGAGAAAGCTGTGGGCAGCAGGCAACCTGGTAAGTCTATGCAACATGCAATCAAAGAGGTGAATCCAAGGACCCCTTGTGATGTCATAATTTTATACTATAAGCATAGATGCAGTCACTGAAGGGGTCATTTCATAGAAAAAGAGCTAGGGGAACTCATTAGCATAACTCATTAGCATATGCCCCACCCCCTGACATCACCGGAAGTGTGTCATAAGGCCACACCCACCACTCAGTCTTAGTCTTAAAGGTGCTATTTGTTAGTCTTAAAGGTGCGGGAGTGCAAGGAAGCCCCGCGAAGGCCCCCCGTCCCCAACGGTCCCGGCCACTGCCGGCCTTGCGGCTCCACTG